TAGGCAATCAGTTCGCGGACAAAATGACTGAAACAAACCCATTTTGGGCGGGGCGTTCTACAGATGGGCGGTGCTTGCTACGAGACTTTCAAGAAATCCCAGCTCGGTTCCAAAAGAGCCCCGAGAGCGGAAAAAACGGCATACGATAGGCAATCAGTTCGCGGACGAAATGACTGAAACAAACCCATTTTGGGCGGGGCGTTCTACAGATGGGCGGTGCTTGCTACGAGACTTTCAAAAATTCCCAGTTCGGTTCCAAAAGAGCCCCGAGAGCGGAAAAAGTGGCAAACGATAGGCAATCAGTTCGCGGACGAAATGACTGAAACAAACCCATTTTGGGCGGGGCGTTCTACAGATGGGCGGTGCTTGCTTCGAGAACTTTCAAAAATTCGCAGTTCGGTTCCAAAAGAGCCCCGAGAGCGGAAAAAGTGGCAAACGATAGGCAATCAGTTCGCGGACGAAATGACTGAAACAAACCCATTTTGGGCGGGGCGTTCTACAGATGGGCGGTGCTTGCTTCGAGATTTTCAAAAATTCCCAGTTCGGTTCCAAAAGAGCCCCGAGAGCGGAAAAAGTGGCAAACGATAGGCAATCAGTTCGCGGACGAAATGACTGAAACAAACCCATTTTGGGCGGGGCGTTCTACAGATGGGCGGTGCTTGCTTCGAGAACTTTCAAAAATTCCCAGTTCGGTTCCAAAAGAGCCCCGAGAGCGGAAAAAGTGGCAAACGATAGGCAATCAGTTCGCGGACGAAATGACTGAAACAAACCCATTCTGTGCAGGGCGTTCTGTAGGTAAGCGCTACGAAACTTTCAAAAATTCGTAGTTGGGTTCCAAAAAAGCTCGGAGAGTGGGAGAAGTGGCAAACGATAGGCAATCAGTTGGCGGACGGAATTAATGAAGCACACCTGATGGGCGGAGCGTTCGCCGAAGTGGACGATGCCGAGGACGAAAACCCTCGAAACGCATCCGAAAAACCCCACGAAATGGGGAGTGAGCTGAAACTAAGCAGTGGTATGGCAGATGAACATAGTGAGGGGATAATCGTAGGGAGTATACCAAATGGTTGGTACCGTCGGCAATAGTTTGCAGTGCCGCATAGAAAATTTTGATGACTGTCTACTAGGGGGGGTATATACTAGAAGTGAAACGGTAAAGTGCGGTAATTCTCAAAATAATATTTCTTTCGACCATTCGGGCCGGCGAAGCCGGCCGATCCGACTGGTATAGTCATGATCCCTGCAAACGATAGGGTGTGTGACCGGGGGGGGGGGTGGGGTGGATCGCTGTCAAAATGGCTGGTCTTTCCATCATGCCATCCTCCCGCCAATTGTTGCGGCGTCAGGATGTCATTATTAATGGAAAGACCGGTTTGGCTCCACTCCAGTCCACGTCCCCCCCCCACAGTTCCGGACCAGTATCTCCATGTCCTCAGCGTTGCCTCTATTATTTTTGCTCATAGCAGTGAGACATATAGGCTTGTAAATCAACAGTCCGTGAAGTCCGAATACATCTGCGACGCCGGGACCAGTACCAAAGCCATCGCGAAAGGTTGGTTGCATAGGGCCAGCGCAACCCAATATAATCAATATTCATCAAAACCACTTGCTGAACCACTGAGTGGAGTGAATAGAGTATATAAACAAGAGCCACTTACTGGAGTACTATCTGGGCTATTTGAACATGAGGCGAATACGGCTGTCGACTTCGAGTTACCATTCGTGTCAACTGGGCTAAAAATATTCGCTATTCACATTGTAAAAACTAGAAACCCATTACTTCGCCGGTTCAGAAGAACTTACACTTCGCTGTCACTACTTCTCGTACTGCTCGAACACGTCGAATCATTCGAGATCGTGCTCGTCCAGCTTTTCGGTCGTTGTCGGACAAGTTGGTCCTCCCGGGGTGCAACTCGTGAAAGGCGTTGAATCCATCGTTGACGTTGTTCGGCATCCAATGTTTCAATAGCGTACGCATCGGATTTCGCTTCGTCCCATAACTCGAAACGTGAACCACCCGAACGTGACAGCTCAGAGAAGCCCAACGATGACATCTGGAATGGATTACAGTAGACTAATTCATTCAGAACAGTGATGAGTTACATACAGTAGGACGTCTATGCCTTTTTCAACAGTAATGAGGACCAGGGCACATCATTAGTTAGGGATGTCAGTCGAGTTCCTACCACCCACCCCCGCCCCCCTCCTCTCTGTTCCCTGCTCTGATACAATTGAGAGGAAGGGGGTGCATGACACATGTGAAAAGGGAAAAAGCGCAAGGAAAGACGATTTTCTCCCTTCCCATCCGACCTACCACTTTCTTAGATTTTTCCGACTTCCGCCCAGTTTTTTCGGAGTTTCTCAAATAGTTCGTTGTAGAGCGGAGGAGACGGGGGAAAGGTAGTGGGGTACACATTACATATGAAACAGGAAAAACCACCAAGAGTCAGCAACCTCTCTCAGAAGGCCAGAAGCCACATACCACCCCCTACCTCCCACTCCCAACAACGAAAAAATACGACTTTCCCTTTTTATAGCGTCCTCGAAACAGGAAAACTCATCTAGCAAGAAAATTTTTTATTATACCAAATACAACCCCCCCCCCTCTGTTGGGGAATCCCAACGATGATGTGCCTTGATAAGGAAGGGTGCCGCTTAGTTCCGCGTCCGGTGTCCGCGTCAGCGTGGAACAGTATTTCAGGGAAAATCGCAGAACTCTAAGAAATGGTTTACTCAGAAGCTTTTCTATTCTGGAACTTAAGTAAGCAAGTTTGTTCCGAGAAGATCGAGCATACTTTTTGACTTGTCCCGTACGACGTGAGACGCTCTGCGCACTACTAACACTTTCTACTTTGTGTGCTAACACCAGCGATCAGAACTTCGAATGTGGTTGCCCCAATGGATGGGTAGGGCTTGGGAGGTAAGTGGGGCATGTGGGGCGGGCCAAGCCACAGAGTTATGTATTACTTGTACAACTCCCCGAAAATCGACGGAACATAAGATGTTGCCATCAGAACTCACTGAAAACGAACAATGAACAACGTGAGTACACCCTCATACCTTGTCTTTACCCTTGGGATACGGAGAATGATGCAGCACCGTAAAGTAAGGCAGGAACAATTCAGACAATTAAAAAGATAAAGTTTCCGCCGTTGATCAATCCCTTTGTGAGGATGCGGCACGCATTCTACTTCCATTCAGAATCGTAGTGGCTTATTGAATGCGATGTGGCCTATACAATTCCTTGGGTGAATCTTGGGAATCAGCTCAACAGTCCTATCCTGCCAGACGAATCTGGTACCAATTTAGCCGTCCTTGGAGGGCTTGGACGGTCTGGGCAGGCGCCGATCCTAGACTTGATCTGCGGACCGTGCGCGTGGTAACGTGCCACTTGCCACCACATTACCCATAATTCAGGTAATGTTGCAAATTTCAACCATTCACGAGTTGAAATTCATGAATGTAACTGCATCGCATTTGCAATGATAAAATATGGAAGAGGTTCGGTGGAGGTCGGGAGAGGTCTTGTGAGCGACGTCCGCTAATCTTGCCCTCGATGGTATGGCCCTGTGCTTCGCGCAAATGCTGACACTGTCTGTAAGACTGGTCTTCTGATCCTTGACGCGAAAGCGACCTAGGAGGAAAATGACCAGTCATGTGTACTGCTGTACAGCACGATCACTGCAAACGATAAGACGACGTCGAATGAAACGCAACCAGAGCGCCCTTTCTCCACCAATGATGTCGTTCTGAGCCAACCACAGGAAAATCCGATCTGGCTGCACTCCAAACCACGCTCCCGTCACACGCCCTATCGTTTGTAGAAGCTATGACTGTACCTATGTTGTACAGTGTTTAGTGATTCCGAGATCAGGGATAGCACAGTATTAAGACATCTTTAACAGCCACCAGTAAATTTTATACAAGACATCTAGTAAAGATTACTCACCGGGATACACATTTTGTGCTCGTAGTACTCTGGATCTAGCGAAGACGGTTGGTTCGGAGGATTACGCTTCTTACAGAACAGGATCCCTCCATCGAACAGGAAAAGATGCCTGCAAAGGATTTTT